ATCCTATTACATAATCAGAAAAGGCTCAGAATAGATACAAATAATCTAGCAGAAGAGTAGTGTAGAAGAGACCTCCAATTGCTTTCCTATGTTGAAGCCCCTTAGTTTGCCAGGCAGAAATTTCAGAGGCATGACATTTTTCTCTGAACTAGGAAAGATGCAAACACTCTCCTAACTTCTGTCCAAAAACACACGTACCTTCTCTTTGTTAAAATTAAAGGAAAAAGGGAAACATAAGGAAGCAAGAGAAAGGTGACTTTGAAATTAATGTTAAAGCCTAAATTGTAAGCTAAAACTTTATTTTGGGTCCTATAGGCCCTCAGTGTTGGGACCCTGATAGTCTAAAGGGCTTTCCCTTTAAACAATAGAATTTCAGACCTTAGTGTGCATCAGAATCACCAAGAGGACTGGTTAAAACACGTTATTTCTGGGCCTTCTCCCTAGAGTTTCTGAGTCAATAGATCTGGGATGGAGTTGAGAATTTCATTCTACTAAGTTCCCGGATGTTGCTGACGCTGCTGGTCTGGAACCACACTTTGAGAACCACTGCTTTAAGAAATGAAAGGGCTGAATCAAGGATCTAGGGGGTTTACTTATTTCCATGACTACCCTTGCCACAGAAAATTCATGGCATAATATTTAAATGGCCAAAACATCAAATTGGAAGGATCCAGTATACATAGGTTTAATTTTCAACTGTCTTGGTTTCCCTGCAGCTTCCAAATCTTGCCAGGTTTCCTCCCTGCAAGGCTGTAGCATCTTCCGGTTTGCTACCACCTTTCCCAGGACCTGTGGCTGGCAGTGCTCGCTCACGGGGCCAGGCTGAGCGGACACGCACGCATGCACCCTGGGCAGCAGGGACAGCCAAGTTGGTGGCCCATATATCCCTGATGAGGTTGACTAAGGACTCATGAATATAAGATAAGGCTGATTCAATTATAAATGGCAGTATCTTCAGGCTTTGGCCTTTTGGGAACAGTGTCCCGAAGACCATTTTATTACTTACGGCCTCCTCAGTGGGGCCGTGCACCAGAACTGTGAGGAGCTGTCACAGTCATCGTAAGCGTGTGCCTGCATTCCCCTGCCATGTCCATCCCCATTAATAAACCCTCTGCAAAAGCACGTTTTTCATCCCATCATGGGGGCTGGCTTATACAATCCACTACTTGGCTGTAGCTTAGCTAATGCCCAGGATTAAGGAAAGAAAAAATAAAGTATGATGAGGAGCTGCGTTTGGTGATCTGGGTTACTTCAGCACTTGACCTCTGGTCAAATGTGTGATGAGGACCATTTCCCCTCCCAAATACTTTGCAATGAAATCCTTAAGGTCTCATGTAGGTATCTCCCTGATCCTGGTTTGCAGGACTGAGTCCCATTCAGTCAGGCAAGCTTCACCTACATGCAGGGTATAGATGGTTCTACCCAGGTGCTGATGTGAGGTGTCTGTGAGAAACAGCAGGCTACCACTTCTCTCTTCCTCTTTTGGACTACTACAGGAAATAGAGTTACTCCCCAGACCACTGTAAGGGGGTATCCCTCTGAATAGTGTGACCCTTATCTCAGGGAGCTAGAGGTGAAGAGATGGTGAGATTAGGTCCACTTTGAGTCCTGCAAACTAGGGAAACCAGAAAGCAAGAAATGAAAAAAAAAAAAAAAATTCCTTATGTCTTAAGTCCTTAAGGAGTATGGCTAGGTCAGTTGGCAGGTCGGCAATTCAAGACCAAAACAGTACGCCAACCAGTAAGGATTTCATTGTAGGGTCTTCCTGTGAACGTTTAGCCAATTCTTCTTCCCTGCCAGCCTCTACCTTCCCAATGGTCGGACTCATGACGAAGACATTGGTATAGGGATTTACACAAAGACAGAGATAAGCACTGTCGAGCTGCCACAAAGCACAGATT